TCAAGCCAAACATACCGGACTTTCGTCACCAAACGCTTTGCGCATTCGTTCAACTTTTTAGGTCTCTTAGATCTCGGGATTTCTTCATACATAACCCACTCGTCGTTCGTTCACGCTGCGCGACACATATACATGTTGTCGTTTGTCTTCGGACGGCCTAGGATCTCTTCGACTTCGTCCTCTTCGCCTCTTGTTTGGGGGTGCCGGGCCGGAGATAGTAGTCTCGCGACCACTATGGCTTTCCCACGAGCCGCCGTAGCATCGGCAAGTGTATTCGTGCCAACTCCGGTTGTCGCTCCTCGGCTTGGTCCGGTTCCCTTGGCGCCAAGGTATCCGCCTCAGCCAGGCTAGTGCTTGGAGCATTTGTACTTTGTTTCGGTTGTCTTCTCGACCACCGCTCGGGACCGACGTTAATGCTTTCGTGTCTTTGCGGTTCCAGTGAATTTCTTCTGAGTTGCTCAGATTAGTCGCCGAAAGCAGTTCTTTCCGCCTAATATCTTGGCGAAGCCATGCCACAACCGGCTATCTGGTCGGGATTTTCGGTGGACGCCAACCTAATATACCGTAGAAAGTTCGAGAAGACAATAGTGTTCAATACAAATTATAATATTATATCAAGGTTACAGAGATACTTACGACTTGGAAGCACGGAATAACGTGGTGAAGGGCGTCTCTTTGACCGCTACCGCTCCACGTGCTCGGCGGGTTCCACAGTCTTTTTCCACCACGCAGATCGGCGCCGGGTTTGGTGCTTGACACTTCCCCGCTTGTTTTTCTCGTGTTGCGATGGTCGGTGGTGCGATCATCACCGCCGCATGAGGAGCTACCCCGCCTGCTGACCCCATTTGTCTCTCTCTTCGAGGGATGAGTCGGAAGATGTCCGCATCCTCTCGTTTCATCGTCGAAAGGGGGAAGATGGCTGGCGACGTTTGTTGGCATCGGCCGCTTACTAGCGACCTTGGCCGTTACATCCTCCCCAACTCCGAAAGTACCGCCCACCGACGGTTTTCTTGATCGCTTCGGTCTCGAGCGGTTGAGCGGCAATTTGCGGCCAATCCACGCCGGGGCGGAGACACGAATCATCGCCGCTTCGGTCATGACCATTACTCGGGAAATATAAAGGAGACAACAATGATTTTTGTTGCAACATAACTCTACAGCACAAGGAGGCATCATTTACCTTTGGGGAGGTCGGGCGGCTTGAAGGCGTGTTTCGATGTCGTTTAACCCGACATAATTGGGGTCGGCTAGATTGAATAGCTCCCCAATTACGGCCTTGATTTCTATCTTGTCGAGCGCCTCTTTTTTGGTCCTCGTCGGATCTGCGCGCTACCGGTACTCGAAGCCGGATGTACCCTCTTTTTGGCGGTTGGATTCTTTGGTCGATGAAGTTCCCGACCACGCTTGGACCATCCAGTTTTCCCCACGGATCAACCCGAGCGATTTCGTGATCGCTCCAAGTGCTCGGGCTTCTCCGACCAAGCGTTTCTTCTTCTCCGGAATCAACCCCACGTCACATGTGGTGATCGATGTTCGGCTCTTCATGGATGTAGAACCATTTCTTGTACCATTCGTCCGATTGAGGTGTTCCATGGGCGGTCAGGTGGTCTTTGGGCCTTCATACCGTCATGCAGATTGAGGTATACGCCTCCAGCTATCTTCGAGCCTCCGCTCCCTTTCTTCCGCAGATGAACAGGATGACGAAAGAGGTCGAAATGAAAATGAAAGCCACCATAAGCTTCGCAAAGATGGATGAAGGTGGAGACAAGAAGAATCGAGTTGGGATGCGATTGCAAATCACAATCTCGTAATATAAGTAGAGCCCCTAAAGGAAAGGGTGCACCTGGAACCCCAAAACCCCGCTTGAAGAAATCCTCAAAACCACAATCTCACCGGTTGTGGATCGGGAAGCTTTCTCCTTCCGGCGCAAGACGCCATCCATGAAAGTGCCTGTTGTGGAGCACTCCCATGGCGGCGAGGTCTTCGATCTTCGCTCATTGCTCCTTGACTTCCACCACTCCTTCGCCATGACTCGCCTTTCTTCAGGCGTTTCTCTTCGCCATTGATCTGCCCTTGTTAAGAGGGTGGATGCGGTGGAGGAGGGATTGGTGGTGATTTTCGGAGGAGTAGGGTTCGACGAGAGGAAGAAGAAGGTTGCGGCGGTGAATGATAATGGGGATCGGTAAAAAGTAACTTACCAGCTCTATATTATAAATAATCAAGGGCTCCATCGTTTCGCCCTCCCGAGATTCTTGGGGCGGCGACGCGATCCGCAGACGGTTGTTTTCACAACCTCGAGATCTCACGCCAAAGAACGCGCGCTTCTTCGTTTCCAGTACGCCTCTTCGTTGATAATGTGAGAGGGCCCACATCGACGCACCTCCATACAGCGCCAAGTTTAATCGTTTGTCGAAAAGAGTAAGAAGGCGAGTGATATGTTATAACCGTCTGCTTTTTTGACAAGACGTGGCAGATTGGACTTGACAGAGTAAGGAGATAAATAAATACACCAAATAATAATACAATCGGTGTTTTTTCTTTTGGCTGCATATCTTGAGCTCAATGATGGACCGGACCATCGCCAGGTGCTCTCGGGATCGCCTGCACCATCGCTGCGTGCTCGGGCACCGCCGGACCATTGCCACGCTTGGGGACCGCTCCAAGATCGATGTGCTGGGGGTATCCCGACCACCGCTGAGATCGTTCTTCTCGGCTACATGTGATTTGTACTCACATACAGTTGAGAGGCGTTTATTTAGACCTTGCTACAAGGCTCATACCTCGCCTTTTCAAAGAAGCTCGAGGACTACATCGGTACGATGCACTGCGGTGCATCTCAGACGCTGTCTGATTTAATGGATTCTCAACTTAATCGGGAATTCTTTTTAGACCCTCGCACCACGTGCTTCACGCCACCTACTACCGTGCTCGGGGACTAAGTGGGCACACTTCACCTTGCGGTGAATGTGTTTGTTTTTCGACCCCTACGCCTCTGATGGTCAAGGACGCTACGCTTCAAGACGCACTTACATTTCTTTTCAGAAATACAAGTGGGCACACTTCCCAGGACGAAAATCTTTTTCTTTTTTCTTAAGAGCACCATATATTCTTCGGACAACCGACTTCTCCGGCGACAACGGTGGTCAGAGACGTCAAGGGCTCAAGCCTTGCTTGTCGGAGAAGGTTAAAATGGCGTGTCGCATCATAATACATGGTGCTCGGGGACTAGCTGTGGGGGTATTAACCCCTATACCCTTATAGCTAAGCTTGGGCCGGCCCGGATCTATGGGTTCGGTCCACCAAAAGACGACGTGCGGTCCGCTTAACCTGATCGAAGTCCCGCGCAAGGAGTCAAGGCGGATTTAGCGATCAGTCAAGATCCTGGTCGGTTAGAATAGGAATTCTTATCCGGCCACATATGGCAATTGTAACTGGCTAGGATTAGTTTCCAGATCTGTAACCCTGCCCCCCGAACTATATAAGGCGGGCAGGGGACCCCTCTAACATACAGCAATACAAATCAGACGCAGGACGTAGGTATTACGTCTTCTTGGCGGCCGAACCTGGATAAAACCTTGTGTCTGTCTTGCGTCACCGTCTTGTTTGTGGCTTGCGCATCTGTCTGCCGACAATCTACTACCTTGGGCCCTAGGTAGACTGCCGACCGTATTTCGTCGACATTTACCATCTTGTATCTATTACAATTTTTTTTTAAATTGAGGCAAGTGCACCTGTGAGTGATGCGATGAGCACATGCCTGGACTAAAAGACCGTCTTGCTGCCTTTAATCTTCATGGCCCATCTGCAAATCATTCTAGTAATGGCCAATTGCAATCTGTCAATATAATGTCTTTCAAAGGAAAAAAGCTAGTCGCTCTCTCCCAAAAGTTACTGATGGTCTAACAACTTGCAGCCATGGAATCTGAAATTATAGAAGAACCCAAGAAAGAAGAAAAAGGAGGAAGATACCAAGCCAAAGCGGCGAAACAAAGAAGGCATCATCATCCTTAGCAGTGGTACCAGATGATGAGGTTTAGGACGATAACTTTTCCATGGAGGAAGCATCAGAAATACAAAATGAGAAGGAAGTTGTCATGGAAGGTGCAGGAGCAGATGCAGGCCAAGGAAGCAGCCCGGACACTCAGGTTACAGCCACCAGCTGTGTCCCTGCATCTTCCGCAAGGATTGGCACAAGAACACAGCTTGCATCACCAGGCGAGAACCCTCTGTTAAATCAAAGGTAAGAGGACTAGTACCTGGACAGCATGAACACACCAGTAGAGATTACAATAGTAGGAACATCTAAATCACAGAAAAGTATCAGCTTGTCTAGTAAAAACATTAATAGAATTGTGACTTGTGCCACCCTGTTTCCAGGATCTCCTATTCCAGCGCAGAACAACATTTCGTATGGGATTATGAAAGGCCTGACCGTGGCCTGCTATACAACTAGACATCCCATTGGATCACAATATCACAAACAGTATCACAAGTGGATCAAATCAGGTGAAAACCTAGTCAACTACACACACACACAACACATAATGCAGTTAAATAGAGGAAGAACAGAGCATTGGGTAGTATGGGGGCACTCATCTGACTGTGGGCACCGATGGCCGGCTGTCATTCCATCCCGGTCAGTCAGGAGAGGCCACGCACGGCCGAGGGGTCGACGGCAATGTCGGGGGTGGCACGTCAAGGACGTACCCTGAATTCCAAAACCAGAGTGAATGAAGAACTGAAGGAATTGGAAAGTGAGGAGAAAGGGAGTCCACCTGCAGCGAGGCTGCGACGGGAGGACCTGCTTTTGTGCAAGCCAGATGGCATGGTACAAACGAGGATCGGCCGGAACCCGGAACCCGGAACCCCCCTCGCGATTAACGCCCTAGCGCGACCGCTATCCGCGCTCGTCCCCGCCCCACGCTCTCTCTCGGCTCGGCCGCCGCCGCCGCACTCGTCCCCAAACCCCACAAAGGTCAAAACCTCCAGGGGAGGGAGGGATGCCCGACCAGGCGGCTGCCGCGGCCTCGGGCGACGCGGTGTTCGAGCGGTGCCTGCTGGCGCTGTACCTCATCAGCCCGCTCACCGTGCTGGCGCTCCGCTTCGTCTCCGCGCCGTACGGCAAGCTCTCCCGCCCGGGCTGGGGCCCCGCGCTTCCGGCCCCGCTCGCGTGGTTCCTCATGGAGAGCCCCACCCTATGGCGCCCGCCGCTCGTCCTGCTCCGCTCCACCCCGCCGCCGCTCTCCAGCCCGCTCGCCGCGCTCTACGCGTTCCACTACGTCCACCGCACGCTGGTCCACCCGCTCCGCCTCGCCCGCCTGCGCCGCGCCCCGGCCCCCGTGCCGGCCCTCGCCGCCGCCTGCGCCCTCGCCTTCAACCTCCTCAACGCCTACGTGCAGGCCCGCTCCTTCGCGCTCCACGCGGCCCGCCCGGGCTCCCGCTTCGCCCTGGCTCGCTGCATCGCCGGGCTGGCCCTCTTCGCGTGGGGGATGCGGACGAACATCGCGGCGGACAAGGAGCTCCTGCGGCTCAAGGAGGCCGGCGGCGGGTACAAGATCCCGAGGGGCGGGTGGTTCGACCTCGTCACCTGCCCCAACTACTTCGGCGAGACCGTAGAGTGGCTGGGCTTCGCCGTGGTGGCGTGAGCGTTCTTCCTCTACACCTGCGCCAACCTCGGCCCGAGGGCCCGGGACCACCGCCAGCGGTACCTGCACAAGTTCGGGGCAGAGTACCCGGCGTCGCGGAAGGCGTTCGTCCCCTACATCTTCTAATTGCCCTGCTCAATTGAAGCCTTTGCAATGGCATGGCATGTGCGTCTCAAATCTTTGAAATCTCTTTGGCACAGAGTGTGAGAATCATTGAAATCGGAATGCGCTGTGGTGTACTGGCGTTGATGTAATGGATGCAAGTGTCAGCGAGACATGTCAGCGCGTTGCAAACTTGCAATTGCAGCAGAAACATCTATTCCAATGTCTTGAAATCAGACTAAACACCAATTCTGTTTACGGTGAAATGGACACACGCTATTTTAACTTCTATAAACACAACTCGTGAGTTTGGGTCTGAGACTGAACATCAATTCTAATTCATCACGTCCTACTATTTTTTGTTAAAACTAGACATGATTTTTGAGTGAATGGAGACAGATAAACTTTGATATGAAAAGTATAGATATAGATATTATTTTGCAGTAAGACGACAAATGGACTGTTCATGCTAGATTTTAAGCTCAGATCGAGATTTGTTGAGCGCATTTGTGCATAAAATTAACGATGAGGCGTGGCTCTGAATGACAGCAGGTTTGGGTTGCATTTCTCCTTGACAGCATTGTAACAGAAATAGGAGACTACTCTGTTGCATGAATTGATTTGCCCATATGGGAATGCAGGACGATACTCAGGGTTGCATGAATTGACATGGAAATGATGGATACTCAGCACTGTTGAAGAAATATAAGTGAATCCAGCTGACAACAAGACACACTTCTCTGTTGTCGCATGAATTGATATGATAATGCAGGACGACACTCAGGAATGCATCAAATGATGGAAATGAGGGATACTGGGGGGACAGGATTACAGCCAACGGACACTCAGGCAAACCATCAAAGCTCATGGAAGTATTAATCAACAGGTAAGCTGCTGTATGCAGAAACATGCGATCACTACAGACGCTTTGACAAATCCAACCTGGGTGTGTTATTCAAATCGAAGAAGCAAGATTTCTAAGGCATCTTTTCAAAATGTGAGCTAAAGCTTGCCCACAGGCTTGAAGTTCAGCACATTGTTTAGCTGCATATAGTGTGAGTTTGGAGCAGGAAAAATCTCATCGCTGCCACATCCAGCTTGGGCCTTGTGCAGTGCAGTTACTGAAAAACACTGCTTTGACAATAGCAATGGTAGCAGAAATATATTTCAGCTACTCCTATGTGCTTCAACGATGTAATCACTAATCAGGCAAATCACCAACTGGCCATGCAATATAGTCAAAATTTAAACAATGCATGAAAATTTCCAACAAAACTCAGGCATTGGTAACTTTCATTGTACCTAGGAATGTTCATAAAATTTGACAGAAATTGTTTCAAAGACTTAAGCATGACAAAGTTTCTAAGCAGAACTCTGCTGTGATAGCGTCCACGTCCGACCTCCACCCCCCACCTCAACTAAATAAGGGAAAATCTAGGTAGAGAGAATTACTTCAGCAGACCAAGACAAACCCTCCTCGCCTCCAATCCTGCAAGGTTACAAAAGGAACTGTGTCAAGCTACTGAATACGAACATGGCATCCATAACTGAAACAGCATTCAGCGAGAGATAAAAGCATAATTCATTCAGTACACTAATAAACACTAACACTAAGTCCTTCAATTTTGAAGATTGAACAGCAACTAACACCCCAGGGCCACACTTACTAGCTATGTTGATCACATTCTAGCAATTCATGAAAAAAAAGGATCACTGGAGCATCATCGCTTAAATGAAGGCAATTCCCATTAACATAAGCAGAAGGGAACGTGAACGTGAACAAAGCACAGCATTAACTGTATTGGCTACAGATTCCAAACGACAAAGCAAAATGGTTCATCATTATTACAATCAAACAACAGAAATTTGCTCATTATACCTTCTTAAGCGGACGGGATCTCCACCTCGCCGTCGTCAATCTCCTGCTGCAGGTCCTTGGGGTCCTTGCCGTCGACGGTGCACCCGACGCTGACGCAGGTGCCGAGAATCTCCTTGACGGTGCCGGCCATTTCCTTGGCCATGGACCTGGGCCTCATGGTCTTGGCGATCTCGATGACGTCGTCGAGGCTGATGTTGCCGCTGTGCTTGATGTTCTTGACCTTCTTGCGGTCCCTCTCGGGCTCCTTGAGCGCCTTGATGACGAGCGCCGCGGCGGAGGGAACGACGGAGACCTTGGCCTGTCGGTTCTGGACGGTGAGCTTGACGGTGACGCGGAGGCCCTTCCAGTCCTTGGCCGTCTCCTTGGCGATGTCCTCTCCGATCTTCTTGGGGGAAAGACCGAGCGGGCCGATCTTGGGGGCCAGCGAAGACGCCGCGCCGACTTCGCCGCCGGTCACACGGACGAACACCTCCACCACCTGCGACGGGTCGAGCTTGGGCGGCATGGCTGCGGGCGTGGGGGTGGCGGCGGCAGTTAGTTGCGAGAGCTAGGGTTCCAGGGGCGATGGCTTCGATCGAGTGGGGTATTATATTACGGCCGTCCCGACAAGGCTGCAGTTGGGCCGTCGTGAACTGGGCCGAGTCGCATCTCAGCTTTCATTGTCCAAAGGCTTGTAATGGATTTTTGCCCCCCCCAGTTTAGGCTTAGGGCCTGTTTGGTGTTGCTCCTGAGAGTTTCAGCTCTGGCTCACAAAACTTCCACTCAAAAAAAAAAAAAAAAACTCTGGCTCACAAAACACTGTACTCCCTGAGACACTTTGAGCCACCGCAGGTGGTGGAGTCGTCCTGAGACACTTTGTCACTTTGAGCCACCGCTGTTCCGAGGGCTGCAGTGGCTTGGCGTCGGTAAGGATGTGGCTCAACGTCGTGACGACAGTTACAGAGGTTCTGGAGCGAAAGCCTGGATTAACCATCTGCTGCAACGCCTGCGACATGGGCTGCAGGAACATGTGTCATCCAGACATTCGTTTTCTTCAGTAGATGTGCAGGATTAACCCATCTGTGGCAGCAGACATTCGTTTTCTTCTTCAGTACTCAGTAGATGTGCAGGATTAACCCATCTGTGGCAGCGCTGCGAGGTTGCGACATGGGTTACAGAAGTGTCAACCCAACATTCGTTTTCTTCAGTATGTCTTGTTATTGCCATTTGAGTTTATACTGTAATGCCATATTTTTCTTTTGATTAAATTAAACACGTACCATTGATCTACGGTTCCTTGTGTCAAAGAACTATTCTATGTCACCCTTTCTTTTGGATGATTTCTTCAGGATTCTATCGTACCTCTTCATTTCTTATTTTGATGATAATTTAAGAAGGAAGCCGTCAGTAGGAGCATTGGCTGATTACATCACAGCTAATTTCTTCTGATTCTTCTTTTTGAATATTCAGACAATATGATCGGGTCAGCTGCGTTCTGCCGTGCTCATCAATCATAACGTTACATCAAGCAGCGTAACAAATGATTTAAGTTTTGCTAACCATGAGCATGACGCAAACCAGCATCAATATCCATTTCAGAGTCAAATAGAATAACTTGGAGAGGAACTTTACAGATCAACTTCAGCACAAGTGGGATTTTCATATAATTCGAGCAAATCATCATTTTTGCCCAGAAAGTTTGAAGTGACTCAAGAGCTGATGTATAGCCCGATTGCACATAATAGATTGCATGCAAAAAAAAAAAATGCCTCGGGACATAAGCTATTTCCAAAAATCTCCACAGATGAAAGCAGCAGTAGGATCACGGCAGAGCTCTACATGAAAGCACCTCGGCCTCCTCTCCTGGTAGTCGGTCTCTCAGAGCTTGTGTTGATCTTCTCGACCAACTCGTTCATTGTGCTGCAGATTATAAAGTTGAAATCAACACAAGTGAAATTTCCAACAAAGAGGGTATAGAAGAAGGAACTTCATTTGTGAAAGAGTTGAACAGTTAGTGAACATTGCCAGGTAAGTCACGAGGAGAGTGTCGTTGTATTCCTGGAAACAATGAATCATCATAATTACTTATACAGGGTCAAATATGCAACATTGAGAAAATTGAGAAAACTACATATAATCGGTCATTACTGGCAGCATAGCTGGTATGTTTATAAGGAAATATCTTTACATATCAAAAGAGAGCACTTTGTCTAAGATGAGAAATGAAACTAGCATACCATTAAGAAGTCATCTTGGAATTTCTGTGACTCCATAGCTGGTAGCCTTCTTACGAGGCTTGAGACTTGCCTAAGCAGCGAATTATCCACTGGAATGTCACCTGCAGTGAAGAAAAGGCTTTGCAGTTAAGTTTCTCAAGCCAAAAGTCCAACAGGAACGTCAATAAGTTTGGGAAATTAAAGTTCTATAAAGGTTTAGGTTTAAAGATGAATGGAAGCATGTTTTGGAGCACTAGCACAATATAGCATTATCTCAGTAACGAGAGAGAAAAAAGCAATGTAGCACTTCATATATGTACGGACCTTTTTTTTTGCATGGCAACAGATACTGATGGATAACACGGACCCTGCTATTGAGCATCTTGACGGCACTGTGTATTCCTGTAAGATGAGCAGCCACTGCACAAAAGCATCGATTAGTACAGTTCTGCCCAGAAAATACCTTGGATAGTATGACTATTAATGTTGAGAAAGCTCACGGTGAAGACACCCCCATTGGCATTTTCTTGAGAGAGGGCTTCAAAGTAGAATCCTTACACTGAGGTGCTGTTTGGTTCAAGTAGAGCCAACACAAACGTAAAGGGGATCATGTCACGCTGTGAATGGGAGTGGAACGGCTGTTTACGTGTTTTGTTTGGTTCATCACACCACGACTTCATCGAGTGGCTGACTGCTAATGGGATCGCATACCACTCGCTGGTGGGCGGTAATAACTTTATGAAGCGCCGTATCAGGTCACGCTGCGAATCGATTACATGCAGGACCAGCCACGGAATCAGATATCAGGGCCAGGGGGAACTGTTTACGGGGCAAAATCATACCAAACAGCACCTGAGTTGCTGCTGAGCCACCATCAGATGGTTTGAGACGGGCAACATGGTCCACAGATATCCTCTCAGCTTCTACAGTCTTTCATCAAGCATACTAATGTTAAGAAAAAACCATATATAGCTAGGCAATGACAAGGGGGGAACCTTACCTCAATTGTATAATTTGATCTGACAAAGATGAGCTGAGGACTGACATGCAACTCTTGAAATTACAGAAAATAAAGAAGGAATTAACAGGCAAATAGACATAAAAAAGTGAGTGTGACAAGAAAAGTTGATGAAACTCTGTGATCATACAAGTGAGAACAGTTCAGGGTCACCAGATAGAAAATAAATAAACAAGCATTTACATTTAATAACATCATCAGTGAGCTTCATAAATTGATAGATATCCTTTCTTGCTCTGAACCCTGAATTTAAAGTGTGGACAAAAATTGAGGCACTCTCCTTCATATACATTATTAAGCAAAACCATGTTCTGTAACCGATACAAAAAAAATATATATATATAAAGAAAAAAAGGGAGAAGCGACAGGAACTGCAAGTTTGTTGGCTGAAACCACGGTTTCACCCCATCATGATCTCCCCACACACACACGAAAACTTTTGGAAATGAACATAAGGTAGCCTAGTTATCACTTCACAACCAAAGCATTCCTCGATTCAATCCCGTTGTGGCAGATGCCATCCACACGAAAATTTTGTGACCTGTCGCCTGCTTGTTCTGTTCAGTGGTTGATGCAGGCGTTCTCATCCACCTCCTCGAGAGGAAGCCTCTTCCCTTCGGTGACCTCCTCCTGCTTCCCTTCCTGCTACAGATAAAAAAAAACAATGAGTAAAGAAAGAGCCACGAACGACAATGCTAAATGAGTGCACACGGTATGAGCCGATTAGTTTTATACCTTTGCAGCAATAAGACATTTCTTGTACGTGCTTTTAAGCTTCCTTAGGCTCATGCTATTATAATCCTGTGGCTGCTGCTTCTGCATCTCCTCTGATTCTCCCTCCTTGAAGGTGAACTCATCCAGGGACTTCACAATGTTGTCAACCTCTTTCAATGCTTTTTCAGTAGCTTTCAATGCTTTTTCAGTAGCATCAGCCTCCTCAGGACCCTCCTCCTGCTCTAAACTCATGGCAGAATCATCCAGAGACTTTGCAGTTTTGGTTGCAGATGCAACAGCAGCCTGGTTTTCCTCGAGCACTGGAGCAGCAATGTCACTCTCAGTTTCAGCATCACTGAATACCATGATATTGTCAAACTCTGGTGGTAGGTCGCCACTGAAATCATCATCTTCAGTAGAGGCATCTTCGTTGGCCTCTTCAGCTATCCCAGTTCCCTGCAACATTTGGACTGCACCAATGGTGTAACTCTCCTCATTGGTCCCATCAGTATCTTCATCGCTCTCATCAGTAGAGCCAATTTCCTCAGTGGTCTCATCATCATCTGAAGCCCATTCCTCATCTTCATCGAGATCGTCTTCTTCACTGGCCTCATCGTCTGTCAGTTCACCCTGCAGCATCTTAGCAGCAGCTCCTTCTCTCTCTGCAGTTAGGTCATCTTCATCTTCTTCACTTGTTTCATTGTCTGCCAGCTCAGCCACCTCATCAGCAGCCCCTTGTTTCAATTCAGTGAGGTAATCTTCCTCATCTTCTTCACTGGTCTCACCAGCCTGTGGCATCTCATCAGCAGCACCTTCTTTGCCTTCAGTGAGTATGACTTCACCTTCCTCAATGGCCTCATCTTCTCCCGCAGCAGTCAGAATCTCCTCTGGGGTAGGATCAGTCTCAACAGTGTTAGCAAAACCATCTTCCTTGACGGCCTCCTCATTGACGGCCACTTCCTCATTGATAGCTACTTCCTTATCTTCAGTAGCCTCCTCACTGATGGCCACTTTCTTATCTTCAGTAACAACCTCCTCCCTGATGGCCACTTCCTTATCTTCAGTAACAGGAATGATCTCATCAGTCATCTCCCTTGCAGGTGCGAATTCAGCCAGGTCCTCACAATCTTCAACCGAGACATCCTGTTCCTTCTCAATGACACCTAGGATGGGTGAATCATCCATGACTGTCAAAAGAGCAGATCTCTCAACACTGATAGGTTCCAGCTCTTTCACAATTCCTGACAGTGACGCATCAGAATCAGAATGCACAATTAGTAAAAAGGGTTCAACGAGCACATAGTTCAGAAACTCATCAAATAACGACTGAAAAAAGCAACAATTAAGAACGTGTAGTACATATACATCAAAGAACTTATGGCCGGATTAAGCATGCAGTCAAAGAACAAATGGGTTGATTTCAAAATGTCCTGGTTCAGAGCCTCAACAAGACAACAACTACAGATAAATCAAGAAACTAATGGTTGGTCTCGAGTATGCTAACAAAGATCATATGGATAAATTTCAAGATGACATTGTCAGAATCTCAATAACTGCAGACAACAATTCAAGGTACAAACGACAGTATTTCGGAATGCCTCTCACCTTCGTGGGGCTTTGTGGACTGTTCCTCCATGACAACCACCACTTCCTCCACCTTAGGATCATTGCAGCTCTGAACCAAAACAGCTGCAGACGCTATGGCTGCATCAGAAGAATCAGCTGTGCATTCAAGAAGTAAGATCACTGACTGCTTAGGAACAATACCTAACAGTAAATTTCGAATTACTGAGCAAACAAGGAACATTGAAACTTTCAGGTTAACAGATAGAGTGCAAAAATAAATTTCACCTTCCTCACCCTCCTCCAGTTCCTCCTCTTTGTTGTCTCCTTCCAAAAACTTGGCAATTTCCTCCTCTCGTCACATTTCACATCCGAGGCAACAACTACATGATAACAAAACCAGCATCAAACACTGTCCCCATAAAAATTGAACAGTAGAACCAAAGCAATCAGGGAAGTGAAATCCTCTAACCCTTTGGTTCCTCTTGCTGCCCCTTCTCCTCCTTTGGGCCATCACATTTCACATCCGAGACAGCAGCTACATTGATAACGAAATCAGCATAAAAAGGCTGTCCACAAACAATCGGACAGTAGAAGCAACAAGCAAGTCGATCTGGGAAATGAAATCCTCTCACCTTTCGGTTCGCCTTGCTGCACCTTCTCCTTCGATGCGGCCGCCACCACTTCGGCTTCCTGATCCAAAGCTATCGTCATCTTCGATGTCTTTTCCTCGGGTACATCTTCGGCGGGTCGGCCCGCCTCCACTGCCCCCGCGGCCTTGCGAGACGCCGTCCTCTGGCTCCTCCAGGTGGCTGGGGTCGGCGCCACCTCGCCCGTCTTACGAGCGGCGGTCCTCCTCGCTGTTGCGCGCGTACTGCACGCCGGCACCGGAGTAGGAAGCGGCGCGGGCGTGGCCCGAGTGCCGCGGCGGGTGCTGCGCAGCGCCACGCCGGGTGTCTTCACGATCTCCTTCATCTCGTCCGCTCCTCCTTCAACCTCCATCCGGATGGCCTCTGGTGATTTCACCGATACGCGGCGGCCGCGGGGGAGCGGGCTACCGTGCTGCTGCTCCTCAACGGCCACCATCTTCGCCGCCGACTTCATCGCCGACCTTCCTGGCGTCGGGTGACAGAGAGTCGTACCGATCTCGTCGATCCCGTCGACCTGATCGACAATCAAATCCCCCACATCAACTACCATTTCCAAACCTAACCGGCCTCGTGAACGTACGCGAATGGAATCGAGAACTCACCGAATCTAGGCGCTGGAGCGCCTCGGCCATGGCGGCGTTTGTCATGTTGGCGCGGACGCCGTTGCGCTTGCACAGCGCCTGGAGCTCCCGTCGCGAGAGGGTGTGGAAATCCATGGCCGTCGCCGCCTCCATCTCCCCCCTCGTCTGCTTACCTTCTCCTGATGCGATGCGGTGGATTTGTGGATGGGATGCGAATAAGAGCAGAGATGGGATGAGGAGGGGGTAGGCGGCGGAGGGATTATTATATAGGAATGGATCCGACCGTTGCAGGGGGCTCGTCTAGGGTTTTCCCCTCTCGTTTGAATGTTTGAAAGTTTGAACACTGCTCAGCTCGGGTCATGGAGGCGGCTTTGCGGAGCTGTTCGATGGCGTTTAGTGGAGGCATGTATTGTCACTGCAGGTGGGGTCCGGAGGTGATTAACGAGTATGCACGCCGTCCACAGCTCCTCCTCCGTTGATTAGCTTCGGTGTGCGAGCGTCGCAGCATGTGGGGCCTGGGGGTGATTAACGAGTACGAACAGTCGAAATCCGGAAGGAGTTTAATTGAGGATGCGTGACAGGGTATTTTCAAGCTTTCCTCTTCGTTTCGATATTTGTTGCTTGGTTTGGAAAATGGTAATCACGTTTAGGTGCGAACAGGTAATCAGCTTGTATACAGCCTGATCACTGGGCTGGGGCTGGCTGGCCAGCCCCTTCACATGGCTAGTATTCATGCGAATCAGCCAGCAGTACTTCTCTCTCACGTAAACGAACCAGCAACGATACGAACCAGCCAACCGAACAGGCTGTATACTATTGATCCGTTTAACTTGACAAAGATAGGTGTGAACAAGAAATCAGTCAAAATATTGATCGTTTCGATATTTGTGTTGCTCCGTTTAACTTGACTGACGAAGATGGGTGTGAACAATAAATCGGTCAAAATATTGATCGTTTATTTGTGTTTTCATACTTTTTCGTGTAAAATCAGCGCACCCATACCATTAACCAGCATCGTAGAGTTATTTAACTTGTTGACAGTCATCTCCCAAAAACTTTTAGGCTCCGTTCGCGTGCCCTTAAACCCGGCTTGATCCACTTCTTTTTTCATCTGGAACAATGTGATATTTGTGTTGCTCCGTTTAACTTGACTGACGAAGATAGGTGTGAACAATAAATCGGTCAAAATATTGATCGTTTCTTTGTGTTTTCATACTTTTTCGTGTAAAATCAGCGCACCCATACCATTAACCAGCATCGTAGAGTTATTTAACTTGTTGACAGTCATCTCCCAAAAACTTTTAGGCCCCGTTCGCGTGCCCTTAAATCCGACTTGATCCACTTCTTTTTTCATCTGGAACAATGTTTTCCTCTCACAAATTTCTCCAGATTCATCCAAAAGCATCCAAATTTCTCCAAGCGAACGGGGCCTTAGTGCTAGTTGCAAATGTTTGCCATAATCCTCCATGAATTTTCTTGAAAGCACACATGCAGAAGGACTCTTGCCCCGCGTCGTCCCGACGGGCGGCTTGGGCGGCTCTCCTAGCCCTCGACCAAGATCCTCAAGAACCCTAGCGGGCGCCAAGGCCTGGCCGAGCTGCCAAATGGAGGCTCGGCGGATGAGCAATGAGGAGGCGGGCGGCTTGGCAATCTCGCCTCCTCCTCACCCATCACTCTCCTTCCTCCCTCCTTTCCCATCCCCGTGGGCTCGTCGAGCAGTGGCGGACTGCTCGCCTCCGGTCCGGGTCCGGTCCGGTGGCGGTGGCCGGATCTGCTGGTGGGCCGTGGTGCTCGGCGGCCGAGCATGCCCACGTGGTGCCCGCGCTCTCTCCAACTGCCTCCTCCCCCTTTGCACTGGCTCCGGTCGGGCATGGCCTTTGGTAAGACTCTTGGCTTGGTCTCTACCGGATCCCGCAGGGGAATGAGAGGAGGTCGCCGCCGGTGCACGCACGACATCGGATCTGCAAGGTGCCCGCACGGCTCCGGACGTGTTATGGTGATGGCGGCGATCCCCTTTGACGCTGCCACCGAGGCGCTGCCACGGTGGCTCAGGTCGGCAGATTCGGGGTGCTGGAGGGCGGATCCGGTGTCCCTGTGGCTGGATCCGGTGTCCTTGGGGTCGGGCGGTCGGTGGCATGGCGATGGTGGGCAAGATGGATCCCCTCTCGATCCGGTGGCTTAGGGCTGGATCCGGTGGTGTAAGGTCGAGATGGCGGACTAGAGGGGGGGGGGGGTGAATAGTCTTTTCTAAAATTAATCACGTCGGCTAACCGATATAAATGCGGAATTAAAACAATCGGTCTAGCCAAGACTACACCCCTCTATATATGTTCACTAGCACCTTACAAAGATACTAATAAAGCAACTAAGGAGCCGGGCTAGCTAGAGCTCTCCTAAACAATTCTAGGAGCAAGGTCACACAAATCTATGCCACTAGTACTTTAAGTAACAATGGAGCTCCTACACATGCTAGTAAGCAAAAGCACAAAGCTCACTAAGCTCACTAGCAATGCTCAATAACAAGGCAACCAACGCCTAATTAGAGAGCGCAAATACTTAGCTACACAAACTAAGCAATTTGACTAACAAGGTTACTAAAACCAAATTAGCCACGCAAGGGAGCTACTTCTATGCTACACAAGCAAGAAGGTAATTAGCTAGCTACACAAGCTATCTAATTACAAGAGCAACTACACAAGCTTAAGATATATATAAGTAATTGCAAGCTTGTGTAATGGAGATGCAAACCAACGGGAAGAACAAGGTTGACATGATGATTTTTCTCCCGAGGTTCACGTGTTTGCCAACACGCTAGTCCCGTTGTGTCGACCGCTCACTTGGTGGTTGGCTGGCTAATTAGCATCACCGCTAAGCCCGCACGCCGGGCACCGCAAGAACCTACCCCTTAAGTGAGGGTAGCTCAATGACACGCTTTACTAAAGTTGCTCTTCGCGACTCTCATGGGCGAGCACAAGTACCCCTCACAAGCACTTCTCGGGAGCGCCGCACAAGCTTCTTTGCGGGCTTCGACGGAGACCACCACTAAGCCGTCTAGGAGGTGGCAACCTCCAAGAGTAACAAGCACCACCGGCTTGCAACACGACCACCTAGTGCCACTCGATGCAACCTCACGATGCAATCGCACTAGAATCGCTCACTCACACAATCGAATGATCACTATCAAGTATATGTGTGATGGAGGGCTCCCAAACACTCACAAGCATGGACACTAAGTCCCTTGAGGTGCTCAACACCAGCCATGGCCGAGGGCCACTTCTATTTATAGCCCCAAGGGCTAAACTAGCCGTTACCCCTTCATCATGGGCAGCGGGTCGGGCCGACCGGACGTCGGTCGTGTTGACCGGACGCTGGACCTCGGCGTCCGGTCGCGCCCGCAGACTACCACGTGTCCCGGTTCCGCGGTCACTTGACTTGACCGGACGCAGTTAGCTTTCAAGCGACCGGACGCTGAACCCCCAGCGTCCGGTCGTTTCAAGATAGTACCGACCTCGGCCGACGGACGCGTCCGGTCACACTTGATCGGATGCAGCCGGCGTCCGGTCACACTCCGGCTTCTGTGACATCAGACGTCACTGACCGGACGTGACCTACCAATGTTTTCGGTGCATTCAGATCCAGGCGTCCGGCCGGTTGACCGACGCCAAGATCTTCGCGACTAACTCGTTTTCACTTCTAACTTCATCACCCTTGCTCCAATGTGCTAACCACGAGAACTTGCATCCGGCACAATAGAAAATAGGCATTCTATTTTCCGAAAGCGTTGAATCCCGCCTCGCCAGAAGTTCGCTAAGGGAGGAGAGAGGGACCCAAACCCATCTCACCCTCGCAAACACCACCTCCTTTGTAAATGTGCCAACACCACCAAGTGTACACCACCATGAGTATGTGTGTTAGCATTTTCACAATCATTTCCCAAAGGATGTTAGCCACTCAACTTGTCACGCCACTCGATCCTAGCGACAATGCAAAGTTAGATCTTTCGAGTGGCACTAGATGACCGATATGCAAACAAGTTTGCCCCTCTTGATAGTACGGCCATCTATCCTAAACCCGGTCATAAACTTCTACACATCTATGACCGGTGAAATGAAATGCCCTAGGTTATACCTTTGCCTTTGCGATTCCATTCCATCTCCTTCAATGTCGATGCAACACATGCACCAACACGATCAACAATGATATGATCCACTTCATATCATCACGTGATCATATTGGTTCATCGATCTTGACTTCACTTGCCCTTCACCGTTGCCATCGTCCATCGGCGCCAAGTCTTGCTCAAGCTTCACCGCCACGCGGTCCATCACTCCAAAGCCTTCGACTTGCCCTTCACGCTTGCAACCGGTCCATCAAGCCAAGTCTTGTCTTGATCTTCTCCACCTTGATCACATGACTCAATGTCATGTCTCATGTGCAATAAGCTTCTTCATCATCACATGTGTGAGCTTTGCAACATCTCTAAGCCATTTTCACCTCCATGGCATATGTTGCTCATACACATGTACCTGTGGACTAATCACCTGTGTATCTCACATAAACACAATTAGTCCACCTAGGTTGTCACTCAATTACCAAAACCAACAAGGACCTTTCAGGTGGCCTACTGGCTGGATCCGGTGATTCTTTGCCGAATACGGTGAAAGCTCTAGTTTGGTTTTGGTTAATTGATGAAACCCTAAATGCTAACCTAGTTTATCAAAGTGATTATGAGATAGGTGGCACTACTCCAAGTAATGAAGCAATGGCAAAGATCATGACGATGGTGATGGCATGGTGATGATCAAATGCTTGAACTTGAAAAGAAGAAAGAGAAAAACAAAAGGCTCAAGGCAAAGGTATAAATAGTAGGAGCCATTTTATTTCGGTGATCAAAACACTTAGCGAGTGTGATCACATTTAGGTTAGATAGCCATACTATTAAGAGGGGTAAAACTCGTATTGAAATACGGTTATCAAAGTGCCACTAGATGATCTAACTCATTGCATATGGATTTAGGATCTAGTGAAGTACTAACACCCTTGAAAATGCTTGTGAAAATATGCTAACACATGTGCACAAGGTGATACACTTGGTGGTTGGCACATTTGAGCAAGGGTTAGAAACTTCACCGGCGCCCTATACAGAAAAGACA